TTACCCTTGCAGCAGTAGCCATCGAATGTTGGGCACTGCAGATGTTTTTGAAGCTTATTTCAAAAGAGGGAAAAAAGATACTGTTAAAGGTATGGCGACCTGCTGGAAAAAAAGGAGGCGATGGAAAGCATTGACGATTCGCACCATGCCGAGAATGTCCGTGACAGAGTAGATAGAAGTGATCACACCAAGGTTAGTGCTAATGTAATGCATCTGTAATGTGTATTACATAATGTGCATAATACTTCTTTTAAACAATTGCAAAGAGCACAGACAGTCCCCTTAACTTCTACAGTTTTTGTTCCCGCCAGCTTCAGCAAGGCTGAAGTATTAGGATGTTCAAAAAGCTCTGCCGCTTCTTTTTCTGAATCTTTAATTTCGCTTTTTGAGAAATGATGTAAAGAGGTTTGCTGTACGCCTAGAGCGTCACCTACGCTAAAAATATATGGGTATCGCCCGGATCGACTTCGTCACAGCAAAAGTTTTTGCAACTAAGTTCATCAAAGCAGATTCTACTAATGGCTAGTCAGTAGTCGCATTGCTTAATCTTTAATCTATTCGTAAAGATTCCTCCGATCTATCGCGCACTCAATGGTTGCGGTAACTACGTTGACTGTACAGATAGTGTTAAGCATTTTTAGCATCACCAGCAGAATGGAGATGGAATCGTTTAATTTGAGTGCCATTGTTAGGTAAACAGTGACAGTGACCACTTTCAAATATCTCAGCCAACCGCGACATAATTGAAACACCAAAAGAAAAAAAAACAGAATTTCCAAATAAGGTTTTTGTCGATATTTTGACTGCATTACGGGCTAATTGACCAACAGCAGAGAAGAATTCAAAATAAAGGAACGGCATTCATGAATAAAACATATGTATCAGGTGCATTTCTTTCTATATGCAACTGTCACAGCTAAGACCTTGAGCGAAAACTAATTCCACAGTAATAGTCATTTCAAAACCGAAGTTATGCAATCCGCGAGTTTTGCCGGAGTTCAAGTAGGCAAGTATCCGCCATCTCCCTGCCGATTGTTCTACGATGCTAGTATGACCAGCTGATACATTATTTTTTGTATTAATGATGAAAAAAGTTACGGGTGAAACAAAACCAATTTTATAGGGAGAACTTTTTGATGAACGTATTTTGCCATTGTCGCCGCAATTCTATGTTGACTTGAAAGTTCTGTCCAAGAAGTTTTAAATTCTGCAAAGCTTGCGTTGTTCACAAAGCAATTGTGTGCGTTGAGTTCGCAAAGCAAGCGTGGTGACTCTCTGGCTACGAAGTTCTGCTGAACGCCGTCACAGTTCATATCAACAGTATCCCTATAGATACCATCTTTCTGTGGCAAGTCCAATGTTTTCGCTGGTCCGGCGAATGTAGAAATACGGAAATGGGATTTTTTCCGTGCCACTCCTGATGTGGAAGGAATTGTCCAATTTCAAGCGGGATTTTTGGGTGTAACAACGACTACTTTCAAGTGTATCAGTTAGTTGCAAAAATGGTTGTGCGAATGTTGAACGAAAAATGAATTTTTGTGGTTGAAGACACCCTCATGGTCAGTGGTGAAAAAAAGAAGCTAGTAGTGCAAACTAGGAGAATGTATGTGCATGGTTTTGTGTTATGTTGTTTTACATCTACGATCTTCTTCGAGTAAGATCTCTGCACCTAATGCATCATATCGGACTAGAATGCCTTGTCAAGACTGAGCACTATATAACCGAAGTTCTCATATTTATCGAATCGCTACTTCCAGCAAGTATAAGCTTCAAGGGCACATCATGATATGCTGTAACAATGGAAGTTGGTAGTCTATGTCTTTGAAATACTATTGACTGATGTTATTAATTGCACAACATATCACTGGAAATGAGAACGGAAGAAGTTCTCGTACAAAGCTTTACAAATGGTTTGAATATGAGGAAAGCGGGCTCTCCAACTGCCTATTGGGGCAAAACTCAGGCTCACAAAAGGAGAATTGGTATTTTTCGATATGCTTATTCTGAACAACGTAATTGATAAGTTAACCGTGTCATCATTTTCTCTTATCCCTTTCGCTGCGTAACGCAACTGTAGATCATTGAGCTTTTAACTGGCTAGTGTAATACGAAGCTGTAGTAGCGTCCCCTTCGCTTTTTAGCTTTATTCTTTTTTTTTGATAGTTTGCGAAGGGCAGTAATCGCAACCGCCTATTAGTATGTTCATATCCTTCTTGCAACTCGGATATATAACTTTGTGGGTGTTGCAAACAATTTTCCAGCAATGGCAGGAAAATAATTTGCATTTGCACATATTTTGAACGCAACTAATCCGTTACCTCCTCAACGATGAACCAACTTGTCATTTTCAAGTAACTATGCTTCTTTCGATAGGTTTTTGATTGGACGTTCGTAATAGTTCGTATCTGCTCATTCTCCTCTGTAATAGTTAAAGCAATTTCAGCTTCAAATTCTTATTTATTAGTGATCTTGTGAAAAAGCGCTTTTCTCGCAGCAATGTTGACTGATCTAATTTATTTGATTTCGTCATCAGTCAAAATTATTTTAGTAGTATGTAGTGTCATTCTACTTCATGCGCCTTGCTTAGTTTAGACATCAGTTCTCAAAAATCCGATTTTTCATCAGAGTGTACTCAAGTAATAAATAAGGCTGCTAATTTACGCTGGAAAGGGACGAGTTCTCGCTTTTTTCTAATCTCAGAGTAATTCTTGTTTTATCTCAGTGCATTTTTCCATCAGTCACTTCTTTTTCAGACGGATCAGTTGGTATGTGTTGGTATGTCTTGCGTGTTCGACATCTTGCGGCAGCTGAGCCGAAGGGATCCGGAATTATGTGTACAAGCCTTAAACTCTCTCATGACTTTATTGCAGGTGGATAACTTATTAATATCTTTCAATCTGATAGTCAAGTGGTAGGCCCCTAGAATAGAATTGCCTTCTGCGTAATTTACACTAAGCATTGCAGAATTTACCAGTAGATAGTTTGCGAAGCGAACCAAAGCCGTCTGTCGAGTCCATGATGAAGGTGCTGCGAAATTTAAGGGAAGAAGGTGAGCATTCATTTATTTTTTCGAACAGCAGCTATGCTTTTTCTTCTGCTGAGAAATCTTAATTTAGGACCGCCATCGGTTTGTTCTCGTGCTTCCAGTTGTTTGGCTGCATTAGCCGTCTGTAGTGGTCTACCAGACCATCTCATGGAGGCAGTCGATGCCCTCATTTGCACTCAACGAAATGAGCCTCAGGTGAACCGTTTCATCTATTCTTTCCCTTTTCCTTTTACATGCTTGCGGATAAGCGTAATACTAAGTCGTACGAAAGTCCTCCTTTTAGGCATTCAAGAGTTTTATCAGCTTATAATGATTCCTATCCTTGATTTAATCCAATTTTCATCGAGAATGATCCTTAGCTGCCCCCACTCTATTATATTCTAGTCAAGAAGATTATAATAACATCCAATTTCAGAGCACAGACTCGTCTTACGATGACCTCCAAGTACCAGGAAATTTACATAGGCTTAGCGTAAAAATTCAACATAAAGCTCACAAAGGAACTGAAACGGGGTATGACTAAAATCGTAGCTAGGAGATTCTTCTGGTTGATCGCTACAGTTTATTTACTTTAGAAGCAGTTCTTGGTCGGAGCGCCCCTTAGACGAGCATAGAGTGTTGTGTAGTTTTGATTTGCCTACATTGCCTAACGACTCACCATCTGAGACACCTGATGATGACATGAGGTTACAAGGTTCGATCGCTTGTGACGGTAAGCCTGATATTCCTCTTGTTAATTAATTTTGATTTCGAATATTATTCGCTATTAAGAGGACGTTTTTTTTGATATTCCCTTATGTTTTTTTGAATCGTTAAA